AAACAAGGACTCTAGCTATTTTGATTTCAGACACTACAAATTTGAAGTGCTAGCACCTTGTCAGAGATAAGCAAAGCCAGGTTACAGAGGTAAGGACAGATTGTGTTCAGCAGCGACCACTGCTAAAGAGGGCCCGAGCGCACTGAGCTCAGCTTTGTGGGAGTAACAGGCAGGAGACCTCCCAGGCCGGGATGCGCTGGGGGAAATGCTGAGGGGGATCAGGCGCGTCGGCCTCAGCTGCCTTGGCCACCTGGGTCTGTCAACTGGAGCTCATCTGAAGGAGAAGCACACTTCCATGGTGCATGTCACAGCAAGGTGTCCGCCACGGCCTGCACCTTCCCACAGACTGGAAATGAGAGTCATGGCCTTGAATGTTTGCATTTCGAAGACAAGGCTCTCAGCTCCTGCCAGTTAGAAGGTTTACATCTCACCGGCAGAGAAAGGGGTTATAATTGCAGCTTTCTGAAAGAACTGCTCTAGAAGGGGGTCCAAAATAACACAAGAAAAGTAAAGGGGTAGGGAGGAAAATGCTATTTTTTTTAATAAAAAAGGAGACCAGTGCAATGCATACTTGGAATCCATGGTATTCTTCTTTTTTTAATTCTTGGTAACAACACAGGTACAATTGCTGGCTTCCCTTTCTGATTGAGAACTCCGTGCTTGGGGGACTGGTGTCTTCTGTTATTTTGTGTATTCAGAAACTCACCAATACCAGGGAACTTCAAAAAGCTTGTGAAAACTAGAGTTAAGGTAGGGGTTTGGCCTAGTGATTAAGACAAAGATGTGTGTACCAATTCAGAGTGCTTGGGATCAAGTCTGTGCTCTGGCCCCTGACCCCAGCCTCTGCTAATGCAGCCCCCTGGCAGGCAGCACTGATGATTCTAACAGCTTGGTCCCTGTCACCCCTACAGGAGACCTGGATTGTCTTCCTGGCTTTCAGTGTTTGCTGGCAGACCGTTGCAGACATTTGGGGAGTAAACCAATAGATGGAAGCTGTCTCTCTCTGCCTCTGTCTCCTGGTCTCTCAAATAATGTACACATTGTTGAAAATGAAAATTAGGGGCTGTTGCTGTGGTATAGCGGATAAAGCTGCTGCCTGCAGTGCTGGCATCCCATATGGGCACTGGTTCAAATCATGTCTACTCCACTTCCAATCTAGCTCTCTGCTATGGCCTGGGAAAACAGTAGAGGATGGCCCAAGTCCTTGGGCCCCTGCACATACGTGGGAGGCCCGGAGGAGGCTCCTGGCTCCAGATCAGCACAGCTCTGGCCGTTGCGGCCAATTGGGGAGTGAACCAGCAGATGGAGGACCTCTCTCTCTCTGCCTCTTCTTCTCTCTCTGTGCAGCTCTGACTTTGAAATAAATATATCTTCAATAAAAATAAATAAGATTAAATTAAAATATCATTAAAAGATCGATTTACTTTGATGTTAAAATTTTAAGTCCATGCATTTTTTTATTAATATACATTCTCCATGAACCTTGTGGAGCTCCCTTGTACTGTAGAGTGCTTGCTAACCAAATTCTTTGTTGGTGACAATCTCGTACTGTGTCTGTATTCATGCCTCCCAGAGACACCATTGTACATAAGTCACGGGGGTCTAGGCAAGATGACACTCTCACGTGGCAGCTTTCCCTCTGCCTGACCAATGGACTTAACAAGTGCTGGACCGCTGGGTGCCAGTAGAGCCAACCTTCCTGGCTACAGCTCTTTCTTACTCAGCATCAGTGATTTGGGTTAAGACACAGAGGAAGCTTAGTTAATATCCTATGGAAGAGGGTTGATGATTAAATACAGCTTCAAAGTAGCTCAGTGGGTTGGAACCCCAGATGAAATAAGAATGTGGCAAGCAGGGGATTCTGATCCTTGTCTAACGTGTCCTAGGTAGTCAAAAATTTGTGAAGCTACTCTGAAATTTAGGATGTCAGCCACGGAATATCCCTTTCATAAATGTGCAAAAATGCCTCCAGGGACTTACCATTTCCCTAATTCATGCACCCTACAGCACAGGAACTAGGAAGCATGTGTGTATCTTTTCATTAACATAAATGTTAATGAAGCCCGACCCAGATACGGTGCACATATGCTGGAGAGAATAGAAAAGCTCCAGAGAGTTCAATCAGTCTGTTGAGGTTCATCTATGTTTAGGCCCAAGTAAAGCAGGAATCAGTTGTTTTCTCAAATTTAATCTTCTTGGCAGCCAAAGAGTATCCTAGGAACGGTGGGAATTGCTGCCTATTTCAGAGCCTTTTTTCTTTCCTTTTTTTTTTTTTCTTTTTCTTAGCTCCTCTTTCTGCATCTCATCTCCACTAGGATGTAGCTCTCTTTTTGATGAGAAGCATCCTTTCTTTTAAATACCACCTTTCTGGGCAGGCATTTGGTGCAGTGGTTGAGCCATCACTTGGGATGCTCTCATCCCATAAAGGGGTACCTGAGTTCATGGTCCACCTCTGACTCTTGGTTCCAGCTTCCTGCTGAGGAGCACCTGGGAGGCTGCAAGTGATGGCTCCAGTGGTTGGGTTCCTGTCATCTATGTGAAAGGTCCAGAGTGAGTTCCCAGTTCCTGGTTTCAGCCTTGCCCAGCCCTGGCTGTTGCAGGCATTTGGAGATAAACCAGCAGGTAGGAGATCTCTCTCTCTCTCTCTCTCTCTCTCTCTCTCTCTCTCTATAAATTTTAAAAATACATTGCTTTTTTCACTTTAAAACATATGCTCATTGTAAAAAAAAAAAGTGGAAAACAAAAACACCATAACCTTTCCCTACCAAATATCGCCCTTCCTAAATAACTGCTCATGACATTTTGATGGCTCTCCTTCCTGTCTGTGCTTTGCTTGCTTCTATTCTACCTGATCATATCATGGAGAGAGAAGCCTCACTTTGGGATTTTCCTGTAAAAGCCAGTAGTCTAGCTGGTTAACAAGAGGGCGGTTCCCTTTGCGTAGCTGTTCCAATTTCTCGAGGCACATTGGCATCCCTCATCTCATTTGGTGATCACGTCAGACGGAGCAGACCGTTGGTCAGGGAACTCAGGCCAGGGAAGAAAGCCCTTGCCTCTTTACCACATGACTGGGGAGGGTCAGGACCAGGATTTAAGGTTTCTAGATTTCTAATCTAGAGATTTTCCCCTACAATGATTTTTACTTTTGTTTCCGATTAAAGTCTGTCTATCTATGTGCAGAAATTCTGTTTGGGAGCTGGGACTTGCGCTTCCTGTGGTTTGCTTTTGTGCTGTAGTGCGCCCTTGTGTTTAATGTGCCTTCTGAGTGCCCAGTCTGGGGACTCTGCCACCATCGCAAGCACAGCAGCAGTTGGATCGCCTTGCCCTAGTTTCCTCTGTTGCCTGAGCAGCTGGCCTTGGCCCATGGCAGGAGCACCTGGGGCACAGAGCTGCCTCTTCCTCGCTCTGCCAACAAAGAAACTTGCCTCCCATCATCTCCCGAAGGACCTGCCTTAGCCACTGTGTGCATGCTGGTTGCTGAGTCTCTAACTAAGTCAGGGAGCCCCTGCTGGGAGCCTGGACATCCGCAGAGCGTTCCATGTAAGTGGTCTGGAGCTCACCTTCCTGCCTAACCCTTGTCACACCCTCTGACCACAAAAAACAGTTGCATATTTGCTAAGATTTTTATATCTTTGGCTTTAAAAAATTTTTTTTACCTCTTTACCTATGTAAGCTTTTTCCTCCTTGATGCTATCATATCATGTAAATCTGTAAGATTAGGCAGACCTAACCATTAGATGAAATCTAGTATTTTATGGAAAGGATGTTAAGAAATAAGATTGAGGATAGCCACAGGATCTTAAAAAGAGGAACCAAAAAATGAGACATGAAGGGGAAAAAGGAAACCATGTGAAGAGAAATAAGATGTAAGAGACCATAGGAAGCTCCTGGTTTCCCATGAGTAGGGGAATTTAGAAAATAAAAAAAGTCACTATGAATTATACCGTGAAAAAGAACGTGTCTGATTATTGACTTTTGAAATAAGTCTCTCCAGCACTTTAAAGCTGATTTTGTTTTTAGCAGAAGATGTTAGTGAGTTGTAGCTTTAAAGCAAACTGTCTTTTCCCATTGAGTGTGCTTGGTTTCCTGGAGGAGCCTGTCACGGGTCTTTCCCTCACACGGTTGACAGCCCATTGCATGGATCCCGTTTCTCCATTGCAAGCCCCCGGCAGCTCTGTTCACAGCACATTTGTTTCTGGATTTTGTTTAGTTTTCTCTTCATCTATTTGATACTAGTGAAGAGCTTATCTAGATGTTAGAAAACAACCCAGATAACTGCTGTTTAAGGGGAGTAGATTTGTGATGAACTAGTCCAAGTGGTTCAGCGGTGGCTTCCATCACCTCCTGGCCTGGGCCCTGACTGCATCATCACTCTGCCACGGCGCCAGCCGCCCCTGCACAGATCGGTCACCTGAGCCAGCCACTCTGCCTGGAGCGACACGATCAGAGCCACACTGGAGTGCCTGTGAGCTGACTGGTCACTCACCCTAGCCCAACACAGACTCTGGTCCCCTCAGCACAACCAGATATTTAGAGAAAGAGCCAAACCACCAAATCATTCTTTCCACCTCAAAAAGCTGACATTTTCTGATTGAACTCAGTGGTATTTTGCTCAATTTGGTAAAAAATGAAGTTGAGTGGTTTCAACATTAAATTTTTTGACTGATTTTCCATTTATCATCCCTAGATAACTCCTTATGTCATAATAGTGAAAGGCAAAATAATAATAGTAAAAATGAATAATAATAATTATAATAATAACAGTAAGAAGAATGTCTTTACCTTATCATTTGGTGCCAGCTAATTTCAATTTAATGTATTCAGTCCCCAGTCATTTCCCTAAATGATGGGCTCAGATCTGTTCTCTGACTGTGCGTATGGCCCCCAGTGGGAACATCACCTATTCTGTACATGGAAGAAGCACACAGGTTTCTGGGGTTTCAGAGAAGCTGCTCACAGAGGCCCTCCTTCTATGCAAGGTGGAATGGGCAGTGTCCTACCTGAGCTCATTTTCAACCCTGAACCCTTTCCTGCGGGCCAGCTCCATGAGGAACGCTCTGCGGGTAGTTCCCATTTTCTTCTCCAAAATGAAGAGGACCAGATCTCGAAATTTGACGTCTTGAGGCAGGGAGGTCCTCGAGGCACCCATCTGCCGGGATCTCTTCTTCCGAGGCTCCAAACGCACTGCTTGTAGGGGATCCATGGGCAGAGGCTGCAGCTGGCTCTGGCTGTGCCATCCGGCGGTGTCTCCAGAAGTGAGGGGGGCCGCGCCCTCCTGCAGCGAGGGCTTTGAAGTCACCACGCGGGCTCTGAGGCCAGGCAAGCCCCCATGAGCACTGCCCCGCCACAGCTTCCTGCTCAAGGCCATGGGGAATTTTGATGTCTGTTCAGTTCTTTTGTCCAATATGGAGATCCTGGTGAGAGCAGTAAATTAACTTTTGTTTTGTATGCAGGGTTTCCTCAGCTCCTCAGAATAACCATGTGAAGAAGGTAGGGAAGCAGCGTGGTTGTCATGTCATTTATTTACAGATAAGTTGAGGCCCCCTCTTGTGTTTATTTATTGATTCCCCCCCTTTTAAAAAGATTTATTTATTTATTTTAAAGGCAGAATTAGAGAGGGAGAGGTCTTCCATCCTCTGGTTCACTCCTCAAATGGCCTCAACAGCCAGGGCTGGGCTGATCTGAAGCCAGGAGCCTGGAACTCCATCCAGGTCTCCCACGTGGGTACAGAGCCCAAAGACTTGGGCTTAGTTTTAGTTCAGTGGACTAAGATTGTCCTGAGAGTAGTCTGTTACATAGCCCTAAAACAGATCTTCGGGGGTGGCATGATCTTCAGATGAATATCTTTGCCATAAGAGATATTTTCATCATTCAATTGCAAAATTTAGCTTGTCTTTCTTCAACACACTTTATAGATCTATTTTCTGAAGACCTACTCTGTAACCAAGGCAAGCATCTACAAGCTTTAGCCTACTGAATCCTTAAATTAGCACCAGCAAGCAGATGCTGCCATCAGCATCTGTCTACACAGTGTGCTCAAGGTTACAGAGCTAATAAATGGTCCACACTAGGAAATGACTGAGCTAAGATTCAAACTCAGATTTGTCTGCTTTTAAAACCTGTGTTCTTAACCACCAAGGAGTCTTCCCCAATAACAAGTCCGAGCTCTGCTCACCACTCTGCCATATGCTTTGACACTTTCACCACCTCCGAAAACACATGAACATCCCATCACAAAACCAGGGGGAGAGAGATGTGACAGCTACCTTGAAGCATCTGCAAATCTCTCTGTGTTGCTTAGGAAAACAAAGGCAGAAATATTCCGGTGGTTGTTAGAGATTATTAGATTTCAGCTCCCTGCAGAAGAACTTTTTAGTTACTATGGGGGTGGGGTCTTCAAAAATTAATTAAAAGATGTATTATGAAAATCTATTCATGGGTTTAAAAAATTTTGCATCAAAGTAATCTTTCCATTTCATTTTCTATGAGCTTTTTGAAGAACCCTTGTGTAACTATCCAAGATCATAGAGAGCAGCTTTGTGCGGTGGTGTATTTCAGGCAAGGAGAGTGTTAAACAGCTGTTGGACAAGTACTTGCTGAAGTGTCGAGGGAGTCAGGCTTCTGACTCTAAAGGGAAAGTTGACAAGAGCATGAGGAGATCTTTAAGATGTCCAAAGCCCCTGTCCCAACATGTCCATTGTTTGGGGGAGGAGAAATATGTAGAAATATATGTACCGTGGTGTTCATTACAACATCACCTGTACAGGCAAGGCCCAGAACCCACTTGGAAGTCTAATAACAAGGCACTATAAAGTATGACAGACACCATATGACCACCCAAATTATGTTGTATTTTAAACAATGAGATTAAATGTTCATAGTCTACTACTTATAAAATCAGTTTACATAATAGCAGTTTCTACATGACACCAATTTTGACAAGATCAGAAAGATGTACAGCAAGGCTAACATTATAATCAAGGCTCTCAGGTTGTTGGGTTTGTACACAAGTTCTGTTTTTGTCTTTGTGCTTTTCTGTCTTTTACAAGTGTTCTACAATAGGCATGAATTATCTTTGCAGCCAAGGAAACAAATCATTAAAAAAAAAAAATTCCCTTGAGTTGACAGTGTGCAGCCTTAGTGAAAAGCTTTGTAATTCAAAGGCAGAATGGTTGCTCCAAATAAGCTAAACAGCAGTTGAGTATGTTTTCTGGTAACTACAGCATGCACAGGGCCAGTGGACCAGCACCTCTGTATTCCATGGAAAAGCCATATCTTACTGCCAGGCGAGACTCAGGAGTAGGACTCCTGTGTCGAGCAAAGGAAGGGTCTCGTTCCTCTACCTGGCTTAGACAACTTACTGAAGGTGACTCTAAAGGGCAGAGTTTGTGGCGTCTAAGTCCCCTTTTATGCTGCCGAGGGTCCTTTCCTGTGGCATCATATGACCCATGCTGGGACTACACTTAAGACAGGTGAAGCCATTGTCTTGGCTTGGTAAAGGGAAAAGGGAAACTCTTCAGCCTCACCTTAAAAAGGGTCTGAGAACTCTGAAGTCTCATTGCCATTTCAGGAATTAAATTTAGTCACACTCATGAAGCGCCTTGAGAATTATGAAACTCTATACAAAGGCCAGTTGTGTGCATTTTTTTTTTTTTTTTGGTTTGTTTTGTGGAACACATACAGCACCCTGCTGAATCGAGGATATTGATGGTTCTGGAGTGACACAAGCCTGAGCCGCCTGGCATGTGCCAGGTGTGCAGGCTTGGGCAATGCGTATAAAATGGCAATCATAGGGCTGCCTTCACAGCATTGTAAGTGATGAGTAAGACGACATCACACTTTCCCACCTGACCCTCTGTGGGTGCTGGGTTCCATCCTTACCTTCAACCTGCCACCCTTGTGTGCCGGCCAATGTGACCAGTGTTCCTGCCCAGGGAAGGGGATAACAGCTGTGAGGAGACGAAGGGCAGCCCTGCTTGTTAGCAGCACTGCTCTCAGAGCCTGTGCAGTTGCAGTGTTTCCTAGTGGACTGCTGGTCCCCCCGATTTGGAGCCGTGTTCGCATCCACATGATCACTCTTAGAGGGCTCTACGGGGGAACGAGAGGAGGAGGTTGCAGTGAAGAAGTGGGCCTCGTCCCATCCACAAGCATTATTTTTGTACCTGGGAGTCTTGTTATTGTTCTTTTTGGAAGAAGTCGGTTTGAGAGAGAAAACTTCTGTTTCTGGCAGCTTTATTTATTTATTTATTTTTTAATATCGAATCCCATGTTTCAACTCCTCATTCAAGGGGTAGACCTGGGAACTCTGCCATGTTCCAGCGTGCGGGCAGGGGCTTGTTTTGCTTTGGTTTTTACTGAGCACCAGCTTCCTGTGGCGCCTGAGCAGCTGTGTTTCGTTCTCGGCAGCAAATGTCTTCAGGAGATTAGAGCCGCTCCCTCAGGGACACTTGCAGGCTTTCTTGAGTGACGAAAATTTGCCTTTGAGAAGCAATCAGTAGCTGTGTATCCTGGGTGTCTTGCTAAGTAGATAACTCAATGGCCTGGCTATAACTTGGGGTTCCTCCTCCACCTGTATGGTGAGAAAGGATAACTAGGACATGGGAACTGATGGACACAGCAGCTTCTTCGTGATTTCTAGTCTCTATTCAAAAGCAGTTACTCAATGCCAGCTGTGTACAAATGGTATCAGGCATAAGAAGTTCAGGTTCAGATATTTGCCTTAAGGGAAAGTTTGATTAGCAAAGCTTGGAAAAAATTTTTTTTGAGATTTATTTTACTTATTTGAAAGGTAGAGTGACACAGAAAGGTGGAGAGGGAGAGAGAGATATATATATAGAGAGAGAAAGAGAGATCTTCCATCTGCTGGTTCACTCTCCAAATGGCTGTAACAGTCAGGGGTAGTCCAGACTGAAATCAGGAGCCCAGAACCTCACCTGGGTCTCCCATGTGGGTGTCAGGTACTTGGGCCATTTTCGGTTGCGTTCCTAGGTGCATTAACAGGAAACTGGTTCAGAAGCCAAGCAGCTGGGACTTGAACCGTTGCTCCAATATGGGATGCTAACATTGCAGGTGGCAGTTTAACCCACTGAGCCACAATGCCAGCCCCAAGAGAGAGCTGGGATTTTATTTGCAAATAATCGAAAGCTGTGGAAAGTGACTGAACAAAGTCAGAACATGATCAAATGGTGCCTTCAGAAAATTCATCAGGAAGTAATGAAGAGGGTGAATCGGAGAGGGCAGAGGAGAGAAGCAATTAGGAGATAGCAAGATGTAGATTAAGACAGCCAAAGAGAATGGGGGCAGAGCCTAAAGTGAGGTAGCAGGCCCTGGTAACTGGCTGTGCTCCGGACCATTGGCTATAGGGAGGGAGCGTGTCAGCCCCTACGTACCGGGGTGCGGGAGGCCCCACAGCCCTACCTGTACTCCATGTCTTCCAGGACTTTATAGCCTGTTGCTCTCTCTGGTTCAGTGGCCGCATTACATCCTGCTGGGGAATTATATTCAAAATGCCTACAACAGAACCACCCACCCTCACCCCCAAAACTGCTCCTTCACCTCTGTCCCCAGACCCCTCCAACTCTCTTGGTCTTACCTGATAGTGTTTGTGCAGTGACTAGCACATCTCCATCCCCTCTGGATTAGGAACAGTCTGAAAAATAAGCATGGGGTTGGATAGCTGGAGGAGTGTGCATAAGTGTTTAACAGCTGGCTTGCAATGTTCTGGAACATTTAACCATCGGTGCTTGTTAGCTGGTGCTGGCTGGCACACACACACCTCCTGAGTCACTCGCACAGCTTTCTTCCTGGTAACCTGGAGAGTATGACTTGATTCTTTAGCGCCGAGCTTCAGGACATGTATAATTTAATTGCGAAGCCGATGACATGATGCTATTGATGACATGCTAGTCGTGAAGGTGCTCTAGAAAGATGTTTGGCTCTGTGGCATGCTTTAGCATTTATCGTCACACTCACTGTTTGGAACACCCTGGGAGATAGCTAACTTGCCCCGCTTCTGCTCTGTTAGGTCAGCAGAGGGAGGGAGGGGAAGGGTCGCCCTCATGGAGGATGGGGCCTTTCAGGGTCCTGGAAAAGTGGGCAGAAAGGTGAAGGTAGGTCACAGGGGACAGCAAAGTGACATCGGCACCAGACCCGGGAGAGCACCAGGAGCCGTGAGAGTTTCTAGGAGGACAGTGGCAGAGCCAACGCAGCACCCCAGGAGATGAGGCTGGTAGTGCTGTGCATGAGGGTCTGGAAAGGGGTGAAGGAGCCTTGGAGCGCGGAGACCTGACGCTGCCACTCCAGCTGGGATGCTACACAGATACCCAGGACAGAGCTGATGAAGGCCGGAACGGGCCGCTGCTCAGTCATCAACAGGTGTTTGTTGTGGGTCTTCCATCTCACAGGTTTGGCTCTAGGCAGTAAGATTACAGGGCAAGTGAAACAGACCATCCCTGCCCACGTGGGATTTACATTACATTATAAGGAAACAGATGGCATACATGATTATTGGATAAGCCAGAGTAAGCCAGATGGTCAGAGGTGCTCTGGAGATAAATACAGTGCTTAGCATGTGTGGTGATGGAGCCGGGTAACAATTTGAGCTGAGTTAATCTAAGAAGTTTTCCTGAGGAGGTGACATTTCAGCAAAGACCTGGATGAGAAGAAAAGCAGTGTGAATGGACAGCAGGTATAAACATACCAGGCCAAGGAGGTAAATCACCAACAAGTTTTGAAAGAGAACCTCATAATCACCTAGAGGATGAATTAGAAAGGAATAGGGTCATAACCAAGATCGTAAAATCAAACCCGACTTGAAAGTTATTTAGCCTTCATGGGTTGAAAAGAGCCTGTAGACTGTCTCATTCTCCAGTGGGTTTCATGGGGGGAGTTTTATGCTATAGGAATGTTTATATTTCTGGGTCACAGTGAAATAAGGAGCAACCAGAGGCTGATAATAATATATTGCCAGTTCCCTGATTACTCCTAGGGCGTTAGCGTTGGACCCCACCCCATCATAAATATTCACCATCAAGGTCTCTGATACCCCTAGAGTGGGTACTATGGGGTGCCACCAAGAACCTCCTTTCGAGGCATTGGTGCCCTTTAATACTGGGAGCGTTGGGAGCTGAGGGCTCACTGACAAAGACAGCCATCCTGCCCAAGGTCAGGTCCCTCCCTGGGGGCAGCCACATCCACTTGCTGATGAGCGATGGGGAAGATGGCAGTCAGGCCAGCTTGTCTCAAAGTAGACAACGCTGCAGGGCCACCCGGCGCCAGAGCATCCTGTGAGAGAGATGGACTCCAGCCAGGGTGGGATTGTCTCGTGGCTCACCTCGTCCCCCTGCCCAGTCGGCTCCCATCGTTCCCCATAGGTGTGGGTCCCAAGGGTATGAAGATCCCATCTCAGTGCCTGCTTCCCAGGGAACTCACTCTAAGAACACACCTCTAAAGCTTCCGCCTTTATAACCGCCCTTCTCCCAAATACCTTTGTTTCTATAGAGAAGTGTGGCTCATCTGCCCGCTGGATTGCAATCCTCTTTTGTGTAACCTGGAGGACTTAGCACAGTCCTTATGTACAGATAACAGTCCCAAATTAAAGGCTCACAAACACCATTTCTGGGGTGAGGGTTGTGACGCAGCAGTTAAGCCACCTCCCGGGGTGCCCACATCCCCTGTTGGAGTACATGAGTTTGAGTCCTGCCTCTGCTTCTGATCCAGCTCCCTGCCGTTGTGCCTGCTGGAAGGCAGCAGATGATGGCTTAAATGTCTGAGGTCCCTGCTATCCATGTGGAAGACCTGGATGGAGTTTCAGGCTCCTGGCTTCCAGCTGGCTCAGCCTTGCTGTTTTGGTATTAGGAGAATGAACAAGTGCATGGAAAATTCTCTCTCTCCCCCCTCCAAAATAAATCTAAATAAATATATAAAATGTTTTAAAAAAGAAAAAGAGCGCCATTTCTCCTTATAGGCAGAGACACCTGTGGAATTCTGTCAATGACATACCCTAAGGCATAGACAGGGAGCACTCGGGCCCACAAGTGTTTGTGCCAAACCATTTCTCTGAAGCTGGTTTTGCTGGGGATGCTGCCAAACCCTCTCTTATTCCTTGCCAGGAAGTGGAAGTCTTTCATCACCACCTGGGAGGAAAAGGGGGTTCAACGGCCCCACAGAAACCATCTCACGTGGTGCATATGGTCCCAAAGTCAGGGCTCAGTGCAACGCATTTGAGATGTTTATTTTAAAGATGTGTTCTGCAAAGAGAATAACTTGGAGGTGGGGAACAGGGACTCACTTTCAACATGGTCACCTTTTTAATATAAAGGTTTGTGACCAATTATTTACTCTTGTAAAATATCAGAAAATCCCCTACCCAGTGTTCTAAATTGTGCAGAGAAGAGTGTAGCTTACAGTTAAGTGATCAGCAGTGTGATTCTGCTTAGCCAAAATGTGTTAACTCGCAGAAGCTATGTGCAACTATGGCAGCAAAGAACCCGGCGCCTTTCAAGATCTTCCTTAGGAGGCAGGTTATATAGAGTCTCGGAAGAAGTGACCTACATTCTGCTCGCAAGTCTCAGCTGGGCAGAAGGGACTTCCTGCTGAAGGAGGGCTTTGCCTCAGACAGCTTGAGAAGACGGCCCAGGGAGGAAAGGGGAAGAGAACCAGGACACCGTAGGAGGAGGCAGCGGGTCCAGAGGGAAACTCCCTGAAGAGTCCCCTGGGTCACCACGGGTGTCTAAGTCAGATGAGGCTGCTGTAAAAGAAACCCCGTGCCTTAGGTGCTTTAAGCAATAAACAGTTATTTCTCACAGTCCTAGAGTCTGGCAAGTCCGAGACGTCAGCTCAGTCGGCTCCTGGGGAGAGCTCTTCTCTTGGTTTGCAGACTGCTGCCTTCTTGGTGTGTCCTCGCAGAGGGAGGGAGGGAGATCTCTCCAGTCTCTTCTATCAGGTCACTAATCCCAATCATGAGGGCTCCACCCTCAGGCCCTAACCTCCTCCCAGAGACCTCACCTCCTGAGACCCTCACACTGGGGGCCGCCGTTCAGCATGTGAATATAGAGGGTAGGGATGCAGTCCTAGCACTGGTTAAAAAACAAGAACAGGAACAGCTACTTGTTTGTTACCTGTATACATTGCTACATACATGTTTGCTCTCTACTTACAGCTTCTCTTTCCACCTGTCAATCTAGTATCAAAATATCAGTGGCCAACCTCCACCCCTGCACTAACAGAAGCCAGAAGCCAGAGGGTGTGGGGGTGCCGTCAGAAACTGGTGGTATGGAATATTTGTTGAGTGTGGCTTAGATAGAAACCACTGGTGTAGATATCTGCGGAGCGTGGCTGATATGAATAGCTATTCATCCGCCTTCTTATAAAGCAAAAATAAAAAATGTGCAGCGGCAAAGGCTCCTCCCTACTCCCTATTGACATTTGTGTTTGGTAAATGAAATAGTTTCTTTTACTTGGTGGAAAATTTTCCTCCATTTTCTGGACAACTTGCAGCCTCCAGCACCTACCAAGCAGCAGTAAGCGGGGCAACAGAAGGAGGAATTGTCTCTCATTTGAGTGCTAGGTCCCCTTCGTTGGCTGTTCTGCAAGACAGTGCTCCCCAGTGCCACAAGGACAAACAGCACCTGCTTCTCCCATAGGCACAGGCACCATCTAGAGGGAGTGGGGCAGGGCAGAAAGATGTTACATGTCCTGAGGTTTGGAGCAGAAGAAACCAAGTTACCTAAAGAGACATTGAAATGACTGGATTGACCTGAAATGGTTAGATGGGCCTAAACTTCAGTTCTTTCCCCCACATTCCAGCAAGAGGAAAGAAAATCAGCTCTTCTATTAGACAAAACAACAAAGCTCCCATTTTCCCTGTACACGTAGGCAAGGGGCGTGATCTTGCACCCTGATGTATGAGTCTATAAGTACACATTTGCACACACCCACTCTGTGTGCCTCTGTGTGTGTATCCACACTTCCACACGCTGTAGATCCAGGCAGTGTGAACTTGGGCATGGAAACCAGGCAGCAGTGAGCGGGCAGCACTAGGCGTGCTCTAGCATTGTGGGGACAGAGTAGGGATAGCAGCTCCTCGGAGCAAATCCTGACATACACCATTTGGTGTCAGTATTTCCTATCTTAAGAGGTCTCTGGGTGGTAAAGCAAAACCCTTCCTGGAGAAAAGTCTCAAGTGTGTGATTGTGGATAAACCACTTTATTCCAGATGTCCGTGTTCTTCCCTTTAGCCTTCCCGAATTCTTTCTGCAAAGGGCAGCATCAGGGCCATGTCAGGCATTCACCTGGCCTGCACGTTTCCAGAAGCAGCCTCACAGCACACAGGTCCTAGACGGCAGCACTAACAGAGCAGAGGTGGCCACTGAAGGCAGCAGAGCTATAGGAATATATATATATAAAGGAATCGCTGAGCCCGGCTGTGACCCTTAGCAGCTGCATGGCCTTGGGCAAGAAACTTAACCTCTCTGATCCACAGTTTCCTCCTAGTAAATACCTTTTCTCAAGTTTATCATGAAAATCAAAGGGTTGGGGCTGAATAGATAAAGCACAGAGGATTCTTAAGGCAAGGAAAACTGCTCTGTTATGCAAAGGTCCAAACTGGAGAACAACACGGGAAAACACCAGCATGAGTCCTGGTGTGAACTATGAACTTGGGCGATGATGACAGCATAGGTTCATCACTTGTAGCAATGGTGCTGCCCTGGTGGGGGTGTTGATAACAGGGGAAGCTAAGTGTGTATTGTGTGTGGAGCAAGGGAGATCTAGGAAATCTCAGGTTTGCCATGAACCTGAAACTGCTCTAAAAAATAGCCTCTTTAAAAAACTAAAGGTGTTACTGCACTCATGGGCTCTCTGAGTATCTGTTTTTTAAAAGATTTATTGATGGATTTGAAAGGCAGAGTGAAAAAGGAGAGGGAGTAAGAGGGAAGAAGAAGAGAGAGAAAGAAGTCTTCTCTCTGTGGGTTCACTCCCAAATGCCTGCAACAGCCTGGACTGGGCCAGGCTAAAGCAAGCTGGAAACTCTATTCAGGTCTCACACGTGGGTAGCAGGGACCCAAGTACTGGGGCCTTCATCCGCTGCCTTCCCAGGTGCGTGTACAGGAAGCTGGGTGGGAAGCAGGGAGCCAGGACTCCAGCTGGCTTTCCGACACGGGATGCCGGTGTCCCAAGCAGCAGCTTAACCTGCTGCCCCATATGCCGGCCCCTGAGCATCTCTTTAGGTAGAGGCTGCTCTGGCCTCGTGGTCCTCCAGCTCTGGGGCTGTGCAAAGAGATGGGGTTGGGAGTCCAGCCCGGTTTCCATATTGACACTTGATGGCATTTGGATGACAGGTAGTTTGCTAAGTCCTCCCTCTGTAGGTCAAAGTTTCGTGGACATTACCAACCAACAAATTGCTCTCCGTGGGGGACGAGCCAACTGCCACTCAGATTACCTTCCAGAAAGGTGGATGAGCCTGTTTTTTTCCTACTTTTAACCCACGGAGTGTTATCAGATGTTGGATTGTTGCAAAGATGGTATGTGGAAGATGGCTTGGTGGTGTTTTCTTTTAATATGAGTGAGGGACTCTCATCTGTTTCTATAGACAGTCCATTTGTATCCTTTGCCTGTTTTTCTGTTGGGTATGTTGTGGTTTTCTTACTGATC